CCACGTTCGTGAATGTCGTCAACGCTGAAAGGGGGGAGGTTCTGGTATTTGTCGCATCATCGCATGCAAGCATCGTCACTGTTTTTCTTTTGGTACACCCGGAGCACGGTCAGTATTTCAATGGAGATAGATGCCTACTGAGACATCGCCGCCCCCCATACAAAACAGTCACGAACCTCGTGAATCAATTGTCGCGTCACGAGAACCCTACGTAACGGATGTGGGTGGGGTAAATACATACTTCACGGCGTGTAAGCTGGCACCCCGGCAGAGTTGCGCCGGGGTACCACTCAAGTCTTTCCACGTTCTCTTCCACCATGGGTACGGAGATTTGGCGACCAAAACGAAGCGCGTGCCACGTGCATAGATCTCGTCCATCGCGTGCTCCTATTAATATGTCTGTGGTATGTGCGCGGTCCTATTGCTCTTAGAGGTGCCATGGACCTTTCGCCACGAATCGTCAGCAATGTTCGAACATGAATTTTGAGGTGGGAAAAAAGACACATTTTCCGATGAAAGTTCGTCTTTAAAGGCCACATAAACAAACGCTTTAACTCCGTACGTGCTTGGGCCGGGCAGTACCGTGATGCTCTCCTTCTCTTGTTGGATGTTGATTGATATATGTGTGCCGAACGACAGGAGCGGCGGACTTCGCAGGGGAGAAGATCCTCTTACGTTGCTGCCAACGAGGGGAACGAAGATCCCATGGCTGCGGCCGCCGCAGCCGCGGTTGCGGCCGTCAAAAAGGTGATTTTCCTATGGTCAAGCGTTTTTCGCAACAGCAGTGCTTCGTTTCTTTTGAATCGGCCGGAAACAACAGAGAGACGCATATTACAAAGAAACCCATCGATCCACTTCCACGCCAAACACGTAGATATGCAGTTTTCACTGAGTTATTCTTTGAACGAAAGCTGGTATTATTGTGTTACACGACTGTGTGTGAAATCATGCCTAGGGGTCGACGGCAAGGCTCGGCTGGGATGGGCAGTCGGGAGTATCCGGAGGAGGAGCATGTACAAAGGGAGCGGTGGCAGCAAAAAGTGGGGCTGGAGCCGTGGTGGTAGGGAACAAGGCAGCCCCCGAAGGAATGGCGGGGAACTATCAGATCGTGAGGGAAGAAACGGTAGGCAATTATCTGTCCGCTGCAATGCGGGTCACAAAACATTCCGAGATGGCAAAAATATTCTTCAGAAACAGGCTGTTCTTAACATCACAATATCACTAAACAGCTTGGCAATGAGGGAGGGATGGACAATGCCTTCCTCTTGCCCTCTAGTGCAAATGCCTTCTGCTATTCCATAACGCCACAAACGTTTGTTTCCAGGTGTTTATTTTGTCGAACTGCTACCACGAACAGAGCACCACGAAGCGCTGTGCATTCGTTCTCTGACCGCGGGAAGTGTGGCACGCTTTCGTCGTTGCCTGCCTTCATCACACTCATGGCGTTCCGTTTATTGCCCTACTCCCAATAGTAGTTGTATCGCGTCAGATCTCTTACAACCACAGAAAATCGTTCTGAACTATTGATGCGTGGCCGACAGCAGGTCGAAGACCTTCTGGCATGGCCCGAGGGGTGGATGGAGCGTTTCCTCTTCGTCTTCGGCCTGCCGTTCTTGGTCGGGCTCAGCCTCACCGTGCCAGACTGTTCCAGGCCGGAGTACGAGAAGTACTACATCCTCACCTTCGTCATGAGCATTTCGTGGATTAGTATTATCAGCAGCTACATGGTGAGTCAGTCGCGAAACGCGGTGAAAGGGGGAGGCGCCAGGAATGCCTCTCGGAAAAACTGTTGTAAATGCACAAATGTAGAAAGAGATCTACGCAGCGTCCCCACAGTTCGAGAGAACCTGTATCATCAACTCTCATTACTGTATCATACTATGTGGAAACGGACGACCAGACAAAAAACTTGCTGGGAGAGATGCGTGTCCAAGCTGGACATTGGGCACAAACCTTCTCGATACAACGCCCTCCTCGCGCAATGACTGATTGATCCGCCAAAAGACCAACTTCGTTTGCGGCTGTTTGTCGTCCGCCAACTTTCCGTTACATTAACCTACCTGCGTTACCCAGGACCACCATCCCTGGTTCTCACTGCCCCCATTTCTTCGCCCCCTCCCGCCCCCGTCAGGTGGCACTGGCGACGGGTGCAGCGTGTATTTTAGGCGTAAGCGCCATCGTGATGGGGGTTCTCGTGCTGGCGGTTGGCACGTCAGTGCCGGACATGATCGGCTCCATGATCGCTGCCAAGAACGGGGAAGCATCGGTAGGAGCCCCGCCCCTCCTTCCCACTCGCTCGCCGACCCACCCGCACATACACAGAAACGCTCCACCTTCCAGGCCATAGTCGAAGCCGTGACAGCTGCACAATGCGGGAGCGGCATCGGTGGGAGCCCCCAAACCCCACCTACCGCCTCACACTCACAGAGACTGTGTTTTTCCGGATCGTAACAAAACGCTGTTTCCGTTCATACCCCTAGGTTGGATCTGTACACACTAGACTATATACGGAAAAGACACATTTTCAATACGACAACCTTCTCCTCTTGCTTTGTGGCTTCGTGAGGCGAGCCTTCGTCTACCACGAATCCTGGGCAGAGCTCTTAGCCACCGTCCGTCTTGCCTCACCCTGGAGGGTGCACGTTCAATCACCTGCAGGAATGCCTACGAAGACGAGTTGTTGTACCATAGCAGCAGCTTCGTTTGTGTCAGGATGTTCAACAATCCTATCAAACCGAATCCCGCCACCCCGTCACCCCCTGTTGGCTCTCCTTTTCTCTGGGTTGAGAGTGAAAAGAAACGCAGTCAACACCAAATGGAGATCCCTCTTCCTCTCCCAACCCGACCCTCCCGTTCCTTTACTTTCTTGCTGCTTCGTCGGTCCCGTGCCAGATGGCGATTGCGAACGCTATTGGGAGTAACGTCTTCAACATCCTGCTTGGATTAGGGGGGCCGTGGTTGTTCTCAGCTCTCGTTTCGGGCGAGCCTACGGCGGTGAGTGAGGGGGGAGGAAAGAGGGCGACAGGCACAAGCGAATGCATAGCAAACACGTCGCCCAACCTCCTCAACCCGGAGAGAAAGAAATGCGCGTGGGAAAAGGTAGTATCGCATGAGCCCGCTCGTCCCGTCACGCACGAGCTCCCCGAAATTGACACAAGGCGGCGAGCTACTAACAGTGCAGGGTCTACAGTGTCGCTGATGTTTTGGTAAGCTTATACGAGCAACAATCGCCCGACTGCTGTTCAAGCGTCTGGTCGTTGAGGCATACATTGTTCGCGCGAGCACCCACAGAACTCAGGGTCAACATGGCAGACAGACAGCTTCCAGCACCTCTGAGAAGATGTTCGCATTTTTCATGCTACCAACCAGCCAGGGCTCAGTAGTTGCATTCCATTTTCTCGAACGCCCCCCTTTCCCTCCCCCAGGCTTAGCCTTTCATGTCAGGACCACCCCCCCCCCCAATGCCACCCTTT